TAGTTATACTCGAACTCGGCGTTTCAAGCTGATGCCAGATGCACACATCTCTCTGTTCAGATGACTACACCAAGTCAGTAACCTTCTCTTGTAGAACGAAAATGTCAGGTAAAAATTACCATTTGCAGGTGCTTGCCTTCCTGACATCAAAGCTCTGATATTGTCTGGTGCACGAGTGGAAGACGGCCTTTGGCCTGATAGTGTTGCATTGCCACGTACTGGTGAAGGGGTATCAATGCGCTTTTCGTTTGCGCATACCGTAGGAGGTGGCGGTGGTGGTGGAGGCTGCAAATAACAGTTTGAGACCAGGGCCCGGCACAGTTGGTTTGGGGTCAAATTGGACTTCGTTTTTGGGGTAAAAGCAAAATGGATTTCGTAAAAACTGCTAAACAGACATATAAGTGGCGTCCAGATTCCCCGAATTTTTTATTTCCAGAGCAGATTCTCCTAACATTTTGAAAGTCAGGAAATGATGATTTTTCAGAGCGCACTTAGGTCTTTGAAAGTATTGAATACTTGTGCCAAGCACGGAGCAAAATTTTGATGTAAGATTAAAACAAAAAATGCGAACGAACTTACAACACACTAAATGAAAAGATCTCGCAATTTCAGTGGGTCTTATTAAGAAAACTGCTTACAAATAACACAGGCAAGTTGCACATATCATTTTGAAGTTGGTGGTCGTCACTGCTACGTCCAGCTACTTCTTTATCCCTCATCAAGCTCTAAAGCAGACAAATGATTGAACAATGCCTCGGAAAGAATGACAATTCTTACTTCGAGCTGAGCTTTTAACTCGGCGCCAGTCTGTTTCACTGAGTTACAGGATTTTCTGAATGTCAGCTTCAGTGTCTCCATCTCATCTGTGTGTTTCGTGACGATCTGCCGAAGTGATCCGTAATAATCCAGAAGACGGGCCACGTCATTGCGTAAAGAATTTATCGACTCGTTTATCTTGAGGTTTTTTCGATTGCACTTTTCACTGTGCTCATCAAGTGACTGCTCGGCTTCATCTCTGCTGTGCTGGAATTGCTCATTGACTTCAGTCTCTAATAAGGTGACCATCGATGTTAAATTCTGAAGATCTCTTTGTTCGCAAATAATCCTGAAAACAAACAATCTTGCTACATTTGGACACCATAGAAGTTCAGCAAAAAATGTTATGACTGCTTTGATTTAGAGCTGCCTACCAAGGAAGAGTCACGAAGTCGAAGTGGCGATCTCTACAAACTGCATACCGTGTAACAGTAAACTGCATAATCTGCAGAACGAATAGACAGGGGGACTGTAGAGGTATTCAGACACGCAAAGACAGGCGCGTAGCCCATATATTAGGTTGTCCCAAAAGTTTTGTCGTTTTTTCAAACGGCTATAAAACCAGTCACAATAGAGAACCAAACATGTTTCACCATCATTCTCTTTCTTATGATTACATTTTCAAGCCATAACCTTGCATATCGTTTGTTCCCTGCAAGGTACCCACAGATTCCACGTCATCCCGCTGCCTTTCGCCTTTTTGAATAGTTAACCTCGGGCAGTACCGTTGAAATCTCAGGAGAGACGTGTCAAAGAGAGCGAAAGGCACGTCGCACTGCGTACG